AAAGAGAGAGAGAGAGAGAGAGAGAGAGAGAGAGAGAGAGAGAGAGAGAGAGAGAGAGAGAGAGAGAAGTGGAGAAAGAGGGGTTGGGGAATAGAATACAATAAGATAGACAAATGGAAATATACAATATGAGGTTTTAATATGAAATTTAAGAGACATTTTCATTCACTGAAGCTCTGGGTATCATATAGACACTTTTGCAGAGAAAGTAACAAAGAGAATATAGAGAAGCATTGATCAGACCATCCAACCACAGAGGGAAGGTAGGGGAGGGTGAGGGAAATGGGGAGAGATCAACCAAAGGACTTGTATGCATGCATATAAGCCTAATCATTGGACACAGGCACCAGAGGGGTGGGGGCATGTGTGTGGGGGCAATGGGGGATAAGGACACATATGTAATACCTTAATCAATAAAGAAATTTTAAAAAAGAGAATAAAAAGATCTGAATTCTGGAAGCAACGCTTAAGGAACAGATGGAAGAAATATCTGCTAGCAAGACTAAGCTATTGCCTAGAAGTGGGAAGAAAAATGGTTAGGTGAATTTTACAAAAGTAAAGAGAGAAGAGAATTCGAAGCAACAAGAATTGGAGAGACAGAAAAAGCAAGTATAACCTTCACCATTAGATGCCAATAACAAGAAAACAATCTCTGAATACCTAACTCTTCCCTCTATCTACCTTGATCTCTGATCTTAAATAATGTTGGATGCTGCATGTATTTAGATCAATGTTTCACAACTAGCTGTATTAAAATCACTTGGAAAATACCATGCCCAATCCTTCTTCAGAAAAATTAAATCATAAATCAATTGAAAATCACTAATTTGGACCAGTTGAATACTAAGAAGTTGAAGTATAGCATAGTATAATAAGAGTAGGAGCCTGAGTTTTAAATCCTAGCTTGATTCTATCTTGAAATGCGGACTCCATCTCGGAGCTAATAACCAGCTTAACTTCTGAATGAATGAACCTGGCCAGATCTTTGACACCCCTGCCCCCCGACCTATTCCCTTTAGTGGACTCTGGGATGTGTACAGAGACAGCTGTCTAATCATGAAATTTTCATTAATCCTTCCTCTGGGGCAAGGCACCCTTGATTTGATCTATCTCTTGGCTCACCCTGGTGCCAGGGACTCCTGCTATCTGGCCTCTTGATTCCCCCCAACACACACACATACATTCCTTGCCTAGCACATAGCTCCATCTCTAAAAAGGGGTTAGTCTAGTGCAGGGGTGGGCAACCTTTTTGTGAATCCGTGCCAAAACCAGCAAAATCTTTGACTCAAAATTCTTCTGCGTGCCACCCCTAATGTTTTAAAACAATGCACGAGCTACTACTTTCATCTGTCAGGATACTCCTATTACGAGACTTAACAAAATTCATCACTGAGAACAAAGATTCACAGTTGTAAATGGAAGATTATAAGAGAGGGTTTCACGTGCCAGCAAAAGTGACTGGCGTGCCATGTTTGGCACGCGTGCCAGGGGTTGCCCACCCCGGTCTAGTGGGTGAAAGATGCGGAAATCTGACCATCCTACAGCCAGGACCAGGTTTCTGTATGTAAGTAAGTACATTCCCTATTAAACTCATTAACCAACAAGCTAGCCTTGTCTGACTCAATCTTCGCCTCTTGCTCCTTTGGTATTTGGGAGCTGCTTTGTAAACACGGCCTTTTCACTGAAGACCAGCTAGCTCTGCTACTTTGTGGTTATTTGATTTTAGGAAAGTCAGTTACCCCAGAGAAGGCCCTCGTCTCTTCATTTCAAAGTGGAATAATTGGAATATATGAACACTTATAATAGCAAAGTGCTTAGCAGAATGCCAAGCATGTAACAAATGCTTAATTCAATTTGAACCACTTTCTTCTAAAATGTCAGTCCAGATCCTTAAGCTGCCAGTTGATGATCAAGGAATTTAAGCACCAGAATCATCTAGGTCTTCTCCCTCACCCTCTTTTCCTTTGTTTAATCGTTTTTGAAGTATACATATTTACAAATTGATGAGCTGGGATCCATGCAAAGCCCATTAGCAAAGCCTCTTCCTCGAGTGGATTTCAAATTGGAATAATAATAGCTCATTTGTTTCTGTACGTACTGGGCACCAGGGACTTATCTAGGCTCTTTATTATAATGATTCTACAAAAGGGGTTCTATCCCCGTATTTTATAGATGAGAAAGTCAGACTCTGGGAGGTTAAACCACTTGCCTGGGCCTCTCGCTCAGAAGCTCAGGTTTTCAGTTCTTAACCACCCTGTCCTACTGCTGTGCAGATGCAAGAACTTAGGACAACAAGGAAATAGAAATGCTGGAAGGGAGTACCTTCTTCCATAGCTCACAGGTGCCCAACACACTGGGAAAGAGCTCACGTGTTCCTTTGCACTTTCATGGAAACAGAGTGTAACAAACCTGGGCCTTCTGCCTAATGGTCTTCTCTTTTGAATATTTTAATCATCCTATTTCTAAAAGGAATTTGGTTGAAAGAATTAAAATATGTATAGAATAGAAGTTGTCTTATGGGCTCTGTGTGTTTGCTCTCTGTTGAATTGAGTCAAAATATCTCAAGCTGAAAATCACAACTTGGCCTTCATAAATGCATACCATTATTAGAGAATGAAGTTTTAGTTGTGGAAACTATTATACAACTCGACATAAAATATGTGGACAAGGTCTCTTACACATACACTGTAATTTTGGCACACTAAATTTTTTGCTTAGATTAATTGCATTTTACCCATTTTTTAATCTTGAAAAGCAAAATAAAACTTCCTTTTAGAGTTGAAAACATATTCTATTGTTTACATTGACAATTTGATGAGATTTACTTAAATAAGAGTGGAGAATTGGGTAGTATCCAACTTGTTTTATCCTTTAAGAAAAAAAAAAATTCTTTCCACCAGAACTTGTTTTGATTTAGAAAAGTTCTATTTTGTTTTTTTTTCCTTAAACTTATTATCTGTTGATTTACCATATGTTTATAAGTAAGTTTGTCACATAATAAAATAGTCATCATGTAAACCAATCAAAATCTACAAAAGTTCTGAAATGGAACCAATGAAAACAGGTCATAAAATTGAGGGGAAAATAAGAAGAAATTAGAATGAGCCAACCTTCATTTTAAAAAACCTGGCAGAGTGACAACTGAGCATATAAAATTTAGGGAAGATGTTTGTTCCTCTTTTTCCATATTTGTCGGCTCAAATGAAAATTCTATTAGCTATTGCACAAAGAGCAATTTCCTAGAGAAAACAAGTCTTCAACTTATATTGCATCGCATTTGGAATTTTCACATATTACCTTTGCATTTTGTAAATTTCAGAAAGTCACTCACTTAAAGCACATGTCATCTGAACTATAATTCCTATGCTTGTCTCTGCATCACAGAATGACTGAATTACTTTGCTAATTTGTAGTAGTGCTATCCACTTCTTGTATGCAAAGAAAAAAGGAGTGACTCTTACATGTGCCCAACCCAATGGTTCAGGTTAATTAGACTATAATGTGCCCATTTTTAGTTATACAATATTTTTTTCATAATAATTATATGCGATGGAGACATCTATTAAAAGACTAGAGTGATCATTTAAATGCAAAACCCCTGATAGAACTCCATTATATTTTTCATACTAAATTAACATTACAGGCTTCTAATGGATGCTTTAATTAGGCATTGATGTTATCAGCAATATTTGGTAAAATAAAATCTGTCACTGTGAAATATTCATTAAGTACAATTTCTGTCAGTCAACATTAAGTGTTTTCTGAACCTTAGGATTTAAATAAGAAGCTAAAAGCGGGTTTTCAAGCTAAATACATGAAAACCCGCCCAGACAAACCTCCTTTTTCCTATGTGTCACACAAAAATACATGGTCATTGGGTGTCTTTTGTGTTTTATAATTGCCAAACAACCGGCGTCTTCTCAGTCACTCATGCTCAGAGACATCCCATTAGAAGGTTGTCCTCAGGCTGCACAGACTAAAACAACAAAAGGCCTATGCTAATTGAAGTGCACATCTTTCAGGAAGCAACTCCAATCACACGTGTGTACGTGTGTGTGTGTGTGTGTGTGTGTGTGTGTGTGTGCCTAATTGTATGCACCAAAGAATTCCATGGTCAGCGCCCTCAGCGAGGGCCAGAAGAGACCATCAGAAAGGGCCAGGAAGTCAACCAAGATGCGAGACAGAAAACTAATACACCAAAGGCACGAGCAGCGTTCTCGGGTGAGCCATCACCGGCCCAGCGGAGCGACGCTCAGAATGAAGCTCAGATGCTTACCCGTGATTTTCCCATTGGCTTCCAAGGGAGGCTGCCAGCTCACAATGACAGCACGGGGCTTCCCTTCCCGAGTAATGACTGTCAGATCCTTGGGAGCAGAGGTCGGGGCTGCCAGGGGAACAGAGACAAGGCCTTGTCATCGGATGTGAGAGAAAACAGACATTTATGGGACTTCTAATCACGATGTTGACACTCAGAATCCATCATGCAGTATATCATGCTGATTTTACCATTTACAATTCCTCTCAAGTATTTGGATTAAAGAAGCAAACAAACACAAATACAGAAATTAACGTCTGTGTTTTTCCCCCCGAGGAAGTTTAATGACTTCCAAAGGAGAAGAGAACACGTGTGAACATGGAGGAAAGACTATAATGTATTTTCAAGTGAGTGCTGCACTGAAAATGTGAGAAGCATAAGAGAACAGACAAATGTGCACATATTTGTGAGATTGACGGCTACATGTCTCCAAGGGACAGAACTCTGTTATGACTGTAGGATTTATAATTGAAACGTCACTTAATTCTATATTTCCTTAGAAGCCCCTCCTCAAGAAAAGAATACATTTGAAAACAGGTCAAAACAACTTGCTTAGGTAACATACCAGTTATCTCCTAATAAGAAGGCAAAGAAATAGTTGAAAATAGAGCAGGCAAGGAATCTATGGTATGAAATTAGACGGTATGAACCCTGCCTTTCCTAGAGCTTTTCTCATCTGTTGGTGAAAGGGAGCAGAATTTGTCACCCCCAAAATATGCCTCTTTGGTATAAGTATTAATTTAGGTAGATGCAACAGCATAGAAACTTCATTTCTTTAAATGACTTCATCCAGCGCCTGACTCGCCTGCCTCCTTCTCCCTTGCATGGCTTCTCCCTTAATCACAAACCCTCAGTACGAGGAGGTTCTGATCTGCATCAAATGACCTTGGGAACAAAGCCTCTGGTCTGTTGACCACAGAGACAGGGTTCCAGTCAACTTAGAGATAATGTCTACGCCTCAGTTGTGTTTCAGCTCCAAGCCCAGAAAAGCAGCAAAACCAGACAAAGTGACTTCATGGTTGACCTCAGGACCAGCCGCACGATCAAGGTTCCCTACCCTAGAACCAACCAACCAGTAGAGACCACGACTCTGAAAGGAACACCTAGAAATCTGTGAATGTTGGTGAATAGAGATTCACCAACATTTCCCATGTTGCTTCAGGTTAAAAAAATATTTTTCTTCTCTCCTAGATTATAATTTTCTCAAAGATATAGGCTATATCGTCTTTGCTTTTTATACCAAGTCCCTATCTCAGGACCTGACATTTACAAATGGACCTAATTGGAAACTCATAATTAATGTCTCAGTTGACTGGACAAGTATTGCCCTATGGTTTGTCTGGTTCTCCTTTTCCCATGCTTGACTGTCTTGAAGTGCATGAATGGGAGGTAACACTCAAGATTTAGAAGATTTGCAGCCATGGGCATTGTACTGGCCATTTGTTATTTGGACTGTCCAACATCCCATCCCTTCCTCCTTCGTTAAGAGAAGCACTTGGCTCTTTCCTTTGGGAATAAGCTCTTCTCTGTCACGTGAATTTCATGGCCTTCACCCCACTCTTGCCTTAGCAGTGGGATCCCCTCTTCTGGGAAACAGAATGTTAATAAGAAAGATAAACATATCAGGTCAAACCATCGTGACACCTGAATAAGAGTCCAATAGTGTTCTTCTCCTCTAAAGACTGGGAGTACCTCTGGTTTCTGTCCCTTCCCAAGACCCATTATTTCAGGTGTACTTGCAATTATTTTTTATTTTACTTAAGCTAACTAGAGTAAAGTATTCATCACCTGGGCAGAATGAAATGTTTTATTTCAAGAATCCTCCTGCCACCTTTGTCTTTATCACGAGCAATTTCAACACGAGTGCCTAGCAATGCAGCCCCTATAGTCTTTATGTTAGTGCGGAATTGGAAGGAAACCCTAGAGTCATTCCCTTCACTTCATTTCCTTCTCTCAGTTATAAAACCTGCAGACACTTGTGAATTACTTCTTGTTTCTCATCATCACCCACAGATCTCATCCACACGCGATTTACACCTTTGTCCAGATCATTATCTGTTTTGACAATCACCCTTCCTGCTAACCACATTTCTGAAAGTTAATATCTTTTTGTCTCACCATTGGAGTGCCTACAAGGTTAGGCAGTTGATGAGAAATCAATAGGGTACATTTATCAAGTCAGATGCTGGTGTGCATTTTATGTTTATGAAAGGGAAAAATGATTGAATTTTTTGCTTAAGAGGAAATTAAACTCCTTCTCTTTCACTCAGGGAAGACCAAATGTCTTAGTGGTTTATATTTCACTCCTTCATCTCATTTTAAATAAAAAGAAAGAGCAGAACTTTTATTATTCCCATGGTACATAACTCATTACGCTTGTCTTAGTCTTCAAAGGAAGACGTGAACATTGGCATTCAGGGAAGAATTCTAGGAGAAGGAGTTAATATATGTATACATGTAAAATAGAAGAGGATGTTGAAATTAAATCGGACAAACTAGAAAACTTTGTATAGAAAAAAGTACCCATAAAAATGTAAAAATGCAGTAAACTCTGTGAGTTAACGTGGTAGCCAAAGATAAAAATTAGGACTGCAATACCATGGGACAAATTCTAATAGAAAGAGAAATTCAAATTCTCCAGAGAAGAGCTTTGTGATCATATTTAAGAAATCCCTATGATATAATATCACCAAGCCAATCAAAAGGTAGTTTAATCCCCGGACAGCATGGCTCAGTCAGTTGGAGCACCATCCCACACATCAAAAAGTTGTGGGTTTGATTCCCAGTCAGGGCACAGACCGAGGTTGCAGGTTTATCCCAGGTCAGGGCAAGTTTAGGAGACAACTGATGGATGTTTCTCTGTCACATCAATGTTTCCCTCCCTGCCCCCCGCCGCCTTCCTCTCTCTCTAAAAAAAAAAAAAAAAAATCAATAAAAACATCCTGGGGTGAGGACTAAAAAAAGCATGTTAAACCTTGTATTCTTCAAATGTTGGATCCCTGTGAACAGTGAATGTCAAGTGCACTGCAGGCCTTTTAAGGTAATAAACTCAACTTTTATGATCCACAGTAAATGTGACTGGTAAAATTTACAGGGAATTGCTTTTACCCCAGGTTGGAACTGCTTCAAATTGCATGAAGGCTTTCCATTTTGTTCTCTTATTTCTAAAGAATGAACATGACCACCCAAAACTGCTTCCCACATCGAGCTGAGGTTATTTAGGATAAGAATCCACGAGCTCGCAGTTATAATGCAAGGCTTTATTTTGTACCTAATTTCTTTCCAAAAAAAGGAAATCCCTACCGTGACTGTTGGTCAATGGTACAAGTGCTTTGGACAGAGAGTTCAATGCATAGCTGTCTGCCTTTATGTAAATGCATGAAAAAGAAGGTTTCTATTTAGATCCCTTGAGTTAATGCCTCAATTAAACCCAGATTGCTTAATCCATTAGGAATTCATTTTCTTTTTTCCTAAAATGGGGAGGATAATATAAAATATAAAAGTTCTATGAACTATAAAACTTAAGATATTTTATATAAAATAAAGTGTAATGTAGAGCTGAAAATGCACTATGTTTCACCTTCCACAGGACCTGGGAAACACCTTTACAAAATGCTGAAAGTAGAAATTCTGAAGCCAGCCTTTCTTCACATACCTGCTTCATACGTGGTGGCATGTGCCGTCATGCTCCACGTGCTCGACCTTCTGTTTTTTGTTACCATGACCGAGAACTCGTACATTGTGTTTGGTTTGAGGCCTGTTGCTGTGTAACTCAGGGATGTTGTGTCTTCTGACTATACAAGTGGGAAAGAAGCAAAGAGGGGGAAAAATGAACTCTATCGACCTGGTAAATCAAGACATGTGAAAAGTCTATATAAAATAAGCCAACAAAAACGGCATCCAGGGAGCTAGGACACAGCACTCACTTTATTTCCTTTCTGTCAGCTGGTGTACACTGGCTTATTGGACAACCAAACCATGATCCACCAAATCAGATGTTATGTTGCTTAAAGGGGCCGCAAGCTGATAAATACTCCCAAGTGAGGCAATAACCATGGCAACAAGACTAACTCTGTTTCTTCCTGTCAATTCCCTCTTTAAGGTTATTGGTATAGACTTTAACTTCAATTTATTTATAATAATATATATTTTTTTTTAGTTTTTAATGTTATGCATTTTACATAGACCATCATGATAATAAGATTAATATTTATTTCCACTGGTAAAAAAACTAATTTTTTAGAGTTCTGCTTATGATTTTTGCAAAGAGGCTTTATGGTGCAAACTTTTAGTGATTCGAGAATCTGACTGTTATAAAGAAAATGGCCCAAAGCAATGTTGTGTCATGTGGTTTCTTTCTTGTGTGCATACTTCACATTGAACACACATTTAAATTTGGTCACTGAAGCAACTGTTCAGGAAGGGAACAACAAATTGGATAAATATCAAAACAGTCCATTTGTGTTAATATCATTTGTCTTCTGAATCTGTTTTTTTTTTTGTCTTTTAAACAACAGGTTAAAGATATTTTAGTAGAAAGAAAATTATCTGTCTTTATTGCTTACTCAAAAGATCAAAATGATAATGCAGAAAAAAATAGGTCAATCCTTATTTTCCATATGATCAGGCAAATTTATGCCTCTTATAAATATCAATTTGTGCTTGGCATTTAGATCTTTATCTTCTTCCAGAGTGAAGTATTTACTTTGAGGTTTATATTTATTATATTTGTTATATGTCTATGTCGAGGGAAGTTCTCTTTCCCCACCGATGTCCTATCGATCTCCTCCCTTACTACTTTAGTGTGGCGCATCTTTTTTGCTCTACAATGAATCTTTCTTAGATTATATCTATGAAAATCCTTCATTTTATTATAAAACCAAATAAATGCTTAATGGTACAAATAACATTTTCATGATGTGACCTTTCACCCCATTAAAGCGATGACCTCCTAAACATCTATCAGAAGCTCTTCTTTAAAACAGCTGTAAACACGCGTGCCCGAAATAAATGAAAAATGCGCTGTAGACTCGGGAAGATGGATCCCATCAAATAAAACACAGAATGGGCAGCCAGTGTCTGACGTGCTGATATATAACTTCCAATCTTGCCCTCATGAAGGTCTATAAGTCTTAGAGATGGAAATAGGGGAGAGATGGGACCATGAGAAATGTCTCAGTGAGGAAGGATCACATATCATAATACTAGTCTCTTAGAGCATAGCCACCAGTGGCATCTGGAAGGCCACTAAGCAATAATGCCTTTATTTGTGGTTGAGAATGACACATTAGCATTCTATAAATACTATGAAGTCACTGAATTTTCTCAGGAACCTCATGGAAAGTTGCTGCTCGGCATAAAGCGTTAGCCCAGAAGTTATTGGGAAATCGTGGCCAGTTATTTTTTTTGAGCATAGAATACCCAGGTACTGCTTGTCTGAGTATCAGTTTCCTCATTTATAAACAGAGAAAACCATAGCACTGACCTCATGGCGTTATTTAAAGTGTGTAATAAGTCAAGTGAAACACTGTCTGGCGCACAGTATGAAATAAATGTTGGCTACAATATTTCATACATTGCTTAATGTGCTATATAATTTTAGGCATGTGTTCAATTCTGTTTTGAGTTGTCAGCATCTTGAGGGCAGAGGCAATTTTGCATAACTTTGTATCTTCTGTGATACCCATGCGATGTCTGGTAAATGCTAGTTGGTACTCTAGGAATGTATTTGGAATGAAAATTTGTATAAAGCATCAGGTGATTGATCACTTTAGTAGAAAAGAAATTACAGACTCTTTCTCCATTTGATAAAGCCATTTGGAGTTTTGGACAATGACAATAGGAAAGTCTGGATTATGGCTTGATTTGGGACTAAATGAGGTAGAAAGGTGCTCCTGTGAGGAGAGCCCTGAATATGGCATCTAGTCATCCTGAGTTCCAGCTCTCCTTTAATAGGGAATTTTTGCCAAGTTATACAACCTACCCAAGTCTTCATAAACATAACCACATACATGTTTAACTATGAAGAAGCTCACTTATTCTTTCTGTAGTGGGTGCGAATATCCCAATCATATAGATGAGAACAATCAGATTAAGTTAAGTGACCTGAGAGGACAGAGTGAGGCCAACTCCTGAGCCAGGGCCATATGACTCCACGTATGTGTTTGTTGCCCTCTATCTTGTGTGTGCCCTGCCTACCTTATAAAGCTGGTGAGTGAGATGAAATAATATCACAACAGTGGTTTGAAAAGTTCAAAGTGCAAAACCAAAGCATTCTATTACCACTATTTATAAAATTTAAATTTCTTGTATGTTCCTTCTCGTGGATCAGATATGTTCTACAGTTATCCTTGCTCTCCAGCTTACCCAACTCTTCCTTCTAACCCTTCTTCTTGGGGTGTGGATGTAGACTGTGCATGTGTGAAAAGGGGGCTTGAATATTAGTAATTGAAAGACTTGGATCAGGGAAGATAATGTGGAGAAAAACAGTTTAAATCTTTTTATTTTTTTTATTTCCAAACTCCACCCTATGAGAGAATAGTTTTGGGGTGGGGTCTCGCTTTCCAGGCATTCTTTGTGAAAACCAGTAATTCTGTGTCTGCTGTATTAGTCTATTCACCTGAAATAATTTGCCTCACTCAAGAAATTTTGGAACTCAAACTGTTGTCAGAGAGCAACCGTTGTCCTTCAGAACATTTCACAGAATGGCAAAGTACGAACGGTCTTTTTGTGAAATGAATGTAACAAAGTATAGCAATTATGATCATAAATTATTTTAAGTAGCCATTTTAAAGTAAACTTAGAATTGGGCAACCTGTATATAAAAATATTATTTTTAATGCTCTCATGTTTCATTGGTTGTCTTATCTGATAGTGTTATCTCTATTCAAAGCTCTGTTGAGTATTAAATCTAATACTATAAGGATGTGGATAGGATGCTTACAACAATATCTTATATCAGTGACACGAAGGGCTTCCCTGGAGAGTTTTCCAAAAACCTGACCTAGCATGGAGGCAATACCAAAGAGCCCTTTCTTAAAAGAAATGGTTTCAACTAAAAACTGATTTATGATGAAATGTGAATTTTATGCCACTTAAACATTAAATGCTAGAAGCAAATTGAGCATGGCTGCATGAAGAAAGGCTGACATGAAACTATGGGTCGGATTTTGCTTTATCTCTAGGATTTTACAATCAGAAGTTCCCAAAGGATATCTTCATCCCCCTAAATCACCACTGGATGGAGGCTGGATTAAGCAAGATGGCAGTTTGGTGGAATGAACATTGGATAAAGTATCATGTGGTCCAAGTTCTCTCTGAGAGCAACCTTAGGGAAGTAGTAAAGAGAGGGGATATAAGAAGCTGGAGCGCCAGAGTTGAGTTATTGTGCACTTGGTTCTTGGGGAATTTATTCTCTTGTTTTTGAAACACCTTATTTATCCCACATCACCAGCCTGTGGGATTTATATTTTAAATATATTATCTCACTTGAATAGTTTATGAATTCTATAGAGTCTATCTATGGAGCTGAGTGTCTTACTCATTCTAAAATTATAAATAATATATTAAGTAACAATGACTAAACCATGTTTAACTGCACAGTTCTAGGGACAAAGTAGGTGCTGGACAATCACTTGTGGATCTCACTTTTGTCTACATTTGTGTATTGTTTGTATATACCAACATGGTGGCAGGCTTAGGTGGTAACAAGATTGTCCTGGTTTATAATGATTTGTTGCAATTCCTGTGGCCGGCTGCTAAGGGATTTAAAATTATTAAGGACAATGCCTCAACTGTGTATCTCAAAGGAGCTCTTAGGGGCTGTGAGGTGACTGAGTGATAAGGCAGGAATAAGGAGCCTTGTCTAGTTCAGATTAGTTAAAGGGGGTGTACGTTGTGAGTTTTCTTTATTACATAAGGGTGTTTCAAGGTTAAATAGAGGAGTAGATCCTAATGGCTGAGAGTATTTTCCAAGGACGCTATAAAAATCTTCCATCCACGTATCCCCAGTCAGAATCATTGTCAGAGAGATCCTCTGTAACATTAATAAAGTGGCCTTTGGTGTCAATCCAGATTCCAAATGAAAAGAAAGATAAAAATCTATCTAGACAATTAATGTGGAGCCCTGCTATTTTCAAAGGAAAATGTCATTCCTTTACACTGTATTATTTATTTATCAAAATTTTATTTCTATAAACCCAGCATCTGGTGGAATTCAAATACCATTGTGCATCTCTTGATATTTTCCTACCTCGCCTTAGAATTGTTTCCCAAGACATAATCATTCCTGTGCCACTGAGTTATTAAAATGCTTTGTTTCCCCACTTAGCAGTCACTGCAGCAAAAGGACTCACAGCCAGGAAGCACATAGAACGATGTATTCAACAAATGACAGTTTGTTTAAAATTCCACGCTGTCAACGCGAACTTCACCTTGTATTTCGTATTTGCAGAAAAGCTGGTCCTCCAGCGGACAGTGTAAAGTCGCACTTCGGACGCCTTCTGGTTCTTGGGGACAGAGTTGTCTGCCCAGCTGACCCTCACGGCCTCGTGGGTCAGCGCCACAGCCTGTACACCTACTGGTGGGAGCATGGGGGTGGAGACATCTGGGACCGAGGTGGGGAGATCATCAAGCAAAGGGTAATAATCAACTGGGTCAGTGGGATCTGGGTTCCACAACCCGCCAAATGAAACAAACAGATAAATACATACATGAAAGAGTTAAAAAATAAATACCAGTGGTAACACATCACAATGAGTTAAATGCATGGCAATAATGATGAAAGGGAACATGAGAAGAACAGAAAAAAATACAGTTAATTCAATCGGAAAACTCGTCAGAAAGTGTTGCTCTATTACAAAAATAACTATTTTCTCTAATGGGCTCAGCTCCTTGGAGTGGTTTTATAAATTTGGCTGCCATTTCTAGTTATATATTTAAAAAGTCCATTTCTTCTTGAAACTTTGCCCATTAGTTCTCCAATGATCTGGTATAGACAGCATCAGGTTTATAACTATTCAAAAGACTTAAAATAACATGATAAAAAGGAGTGTCTGGCTTATATCCTCCTGCAAAAAAAAAAAAAAAATCTGTCTAGCTTATTTTTTAGAATTAGTAAGAGCCCAATTTTGGGCCTTTTATTTTATACCTAAGACATTTAAATTTGTAATATTTTACCTTTATGTCATGTAATGTGTAATCTCACTAACCCAAAACAAGACGAGCTCTCAGGCTGGGCATGTGACACCATTTGGGGAGATGAGACTTTCTAGAAGGTAGAGAATCAGAAGCAGAGCACACGCAGAATTTAAGTTTTTAAAGAGCCTCGTGCCGAGAGCAGCGGCTACTGGCTGGTTTTGATGATCACTTTGTCCACTGCATTCCACATGCATAGCCCCTACTCATCTCTCTGTTTTCCAATGAATTATTTAGCAGTGTATTGGGCTGTGGTCTTTGGAGCAAAATATAAAACCCCAAAGCAAAAACAACAAAAGGCAAGAAAAAAATAGAGAGAGAAAAATGTGTGTTTAAAATTTAATGACAGAGCCCAGGCTTTTTGTATTTCCTTTCATGTGTCCTTTTTATGCAGGGCTCCTTTAACGCCAAATGGATTTATGAAACAATGACGGGGGAGTGAAGACACTGCAGCCTCCGGGAGGGTGCCCATCGGTTAGCTGGCTGGAGCACAGGTGGAAGGTGCTGTTGCCAGACCGCGGTGGGTGCTGCCCCCTGCGCCTGCTTCTGTTCTCAGCTGACTCTCCAAGGAGAATGTTATGCACACGGGAGGCCTACTCGAAAGTACAAACCCCCTTTTGACCAAGCTTATTAACGACTTACCCCATATGCTGTTTCTTTGCCTAATCTAATTTTGTTGGTAAATCCATATTCATTTATAGCCTTTTGGTGAGCCCAACCGGCGTGGCTCAGTGGTTGAACGTTGACCTATGACCCAGGAGGTCAGGGTTTGATTCCCGGTCAGGGCACGTGCCTGGGATGTGGGCTTGATCCCCAGTGTGGGGTGTGCAGGAGGCAGCCGATCAATGATTCTCTCTCGTCATTGGTGGTTCTATCTCTCCCTCTCCCTTCCTCTCTGAAATCAATAAAAATATATATTTTTTTTGGGGAAAAAAAGAAATGGTGACACTCAGCTCTGCTATTTCTGAATGTTAGAAGAATATGTTTTTTCACAACTTGTTAAGTTTCTTAAAACCTCAGTTTCACAATGCATCCCTCAAATTCCAAGTAATGCACTTATCTGTGCATTCGATGGCACTTATCTGTGGACTTTGATGATGCAAAAATGTCTACCCTTGGGCACATGTGTCTTGATTCTTATAGGGAATTTTTTTTAAGCATGGTTTGTCATTCTACTTGCCACTTCTTTTACAGCTGCATTGCTTAATGGTCGCTAGTTACAGAAATAATTCAAATTTAAATTAATTAAAATTAAGTAAAATTTAAAATTCACTTCTGTTGCACTAGCCAATTGCAAGTGCTTAATGGTCACATGAGCCTGGTGCCTTCCATACTGGACAGGACAGATGTAGAGCATTTCCAACAAAGCAGAATATTCTAGCTGGTAGCAAACACTCCTCTAGATTCATATATGCTAAATATATTGCAAATTATCCTTTTTCTCTCAGGATAGAAACTGAGTAGTTCAATTAAAAACATCTTTGTATTGTTAAACAACTTCTTTTATTTATTTTATACTCCTGGGTGTCTTATATGCCATTTATTTTCAATGGTTATATTCAAAAGGGTAAAAAAAAGTAACAAAGACAAAATATAGCTTCAAACTTTCTGCTAAAAAGAGAACTCTACTCAATTCCTAATAGATGTTTTGGTCAGAGCCCATGCATTTTTTTCAGTCGATGTATTTATATTCTAAAAGAGCTATTTAAGAAAAACAACACAGTTTTACATCCGGATTGTACTTCACTTAGATATTGATAAAACGGTTGAGAATAAACAAATTCAAACAACACACCTCCTGATTCCCTGGCCCTCTCCCTTCTCTGGGCTCAAAACAGCTTGCCCTCATGACAATAGGAAATAAAAGGTTTTATAGTGAAAATGAAGCACTACCCACCCATCTGACCTAGTGACACTTTCCTCAGCTCTCATTCTGATACATTCCCGATGGGGTGGGCTCCAGGGAGGGCCGGCATCCGTGCACACACGCGTGTGGGAAGCACCAGGGCCTGGTACTTACTCTGGCCTGAAGCATTTATTGCCTGTGGTTTTTTTACTTCTGTTACCCTGGCCTCTTCACAGACTGCTCATGGGAACACTCCGCAGAAGCGCGGAGTCAGAGCATGTACGCTATGCAGCGATAGGACACATTTATCGATGGAGTTTCTCCCAGAACCTTGGCCTTTTCCTGCTGGCTTGTCCTTTATTCTCCGCGATGCGCAGAAACACAGTGAATCTGCCTGACCAGGACGAGTGCAGGCCCTTCTCTCAGAAAGGGCTGGTTTTATTTATCCCTCTTCAGCCCCTTCCTGACTTGTCTTCAATAAGAAAATCCCTCACACCATATCCTACTTTGGATAGCATTTCATTTCTCAGATCCATGAGGATTAGAGTCAGATCAGGGAAAAGACTGTCTCAGGGATCGCTGGCGTTTCAGAAACCACTGGGGGAATGCCATATGCTGGGAATTAAAGACTGACCACCAACACTAAGGGGAAGTGAAGTTAATTACGCCAGAATGGCTCCTTCTGGGCGACTTCTCTTCAGTTTACTTGAACTCTACTATCTCTGTGACTACCACTTGCTGCTCAAAATGTTATTTATTTTTTGGTCGCCTAAGTGGCCCTTTTCTGTGGGCTTCAGTTTCGGTAAAAATAAAAATAGTAAGAGCTTTAAAAGACTGGCTACAGTATGACGGTGTGTAGCCGGATCTCAAGTTCAGTCGCCACTTCCACAAGCAGTGGGCCAGTGTCTTTCCTCACAGGCAGGAAGAGGTGACGTACGATAGGAACATTACGGAAAGTTCAGGTACAGCCAAAGCCAGCTGCGACCTCTCCAAGAGCCTGGCTGCTGGACGGGCAGGAGCGTAAGGGGAAGTGGAAACCCAAGGCCCCCGCCCAGGAGGTTATCTTGTATTTTACACTCTGGACCTCCATTGCCTCATCCCTCTAATGTATTTAATAGCAATGTTTTGAAAGTAGTAATTCTACTTCAAGAAATGCTAATACCTCAATCCTGCTATTTCTGAATATTTTTCATGACATTGAATTTTTTGGAATCTCAGTTTGAGAATGCATCCCTCAAATTTTAAGTAATGCTGTTTGTTGGTATTTATCTATGAACTTATATAACTAAAAAATGCTTCTTACTGACCCTTTTGGGGAGCCATGAGCTTCTTTGATAACACAATGAAAAATATGTAGTGTCTCCACAGATAACTGTATAGATGGACATGTACACAAATTGCACACATCACCTTCGGCAGAATATAGACCTTGAAACCAATGGCCAAAAGGTCAAAGAGACTCTGGAATAACAGCTTCACCTACTGAATCTGAAATCAATAAAGTGATGCTATGCCCTGGAGACCATCATGTAACTGCTGTGAATCCATACAACAACTGCATGTTGCCCACATAGTTGGCGAATGGAGCTGTTGAGTGTGGAAAACAAACTGTTTAAAGTTCACATAAATTTAGGTGGTAGCAGAAGTCACTGGCTTCTACTATTTATGTTACGTTCCTTTATTCCTGCCTGTCAGGGCTCCACTCTCGGACACTCAGTGGTTCTCCATGTCCTCTGTGCTCACTATCAAACCTGCCCTTAGATCCTTTATTCTCATCACGTACACACAGGTGCTAGGTTATCTGAGGTCTGAGGATTGTGGACTTTGAAAGAGGTTGGGGTCAATGTATTCACAAAAGAGATGAACATCTTGGGTTGTACTTTCAGATTTCAGACATAAGACCACTGGGGTGGTCATGTGACTTTCCGTTGCCCTGAACAGACCACAGAGGTGTCACTTATCCTGTCTCTTATAAAGCCCAGGCTTGCTCAGAAATAGTCTTCATAAACAGCCTGGATCTCACATTCTTACCCATCCTTCCCTCAGCTCTTTGAGCCCATTTTCTCTTGTGTGGGGCCTTTACAGTCCAGCTCACCTGAGAATTCCCAGAGGAGACACGCCCTGGCAGCAGCCAATCCTTTTGCTGTCCAGGGGCCCACTGTTGAGTGACCTGAAGGTCCAACCCAGGAAGAAGGCACTGGGGGGCTCGGCCCAGCCCCTGCACCCCCAGGAGGGCAGGTCATCCTTGTCAAGGAGCCCGAAGGACCTGCAGATAAGGGCTTTCCCTGGCATTTGGGGGCCTTTGTGCAGAGACCCTCTCGCCAAAGTGGCATCGCGGGAGGCACGCTTCTCAGAGGAATGAGGGTGGTATCAGGGCACCAAAATAGGAAGCCACTCTGAGGAGAGGATGAGAGCTCTCTTTCCCGAAGCCCATGTATAGTTTACAGACTGAACTTCTCTTCCTTCCATTTGAAAACCAAAAAGATAATCAAGTTTGTGTATGCGTGTACACACACATAGGGCTCGGACCATGACTGCATACATTTCCTGTGTTTTATTTTGCCATCACTCAAACACCGACTGCTTATCAGAGCGGGGTTAGCTATGGTGGCTTACCTGTCATAGACCTGGTGGTGGCACTTTCATACAGAGGAACGCCTTCTCCTGCGTTATTGAAAGCTTTTAGGGAGATTACATAATGGGAACTTGACTCTGGAGAAAAAAACAGAAAGAATACAAACACGTTGATTTATTTAATGCACTGAAATACGCAGGGTAAATCAAATCCAATATAATCGAATAAGTAAATTGTGGATTAAAAACAGGTGAGTGTGATTCTGGGAAGAAGGTGGCAGCGGCGACAATGCGCTTCCCTGAGCTTCCTGAATCTTCATATTAGAAGAAATTGAACCACTGGATAGAAAAGCGGAGGCATTTGATCATTTTCAACAACACTAGGTGCTGAGGTGCACTCACATCCTCAACCACAGGTGAGTACAGAGGAACCCACAACCCTCAGGCCTGCACAGTATCCGCTTCTGTGGGAGAGAAATCCGAGGGAAACATCCCAGCTGAGGACACGGCAACTTCAAGTCACCAGCAGGCAATGCAGCCAGTGCAGCAGAGCAGTGTGAGGACAGTAAACATAAATCCCGAAATTAACCCACAGCCTCCTTTTCAGGCCGAGGCTCACACTGAGGACAAACCACAGGAAATAGATTTAAAATTTGAAGCCATAGAAACGAAGGGGAGAGAAAATACAGACACAAGTAGGAAAGACGAACCATCACAAAACTTAGAAAAAAGGTGCATAATTTTTAGTGCGTATCAGGGGTTGGCCAACTTCTCTACAAAGGGCGAAGAGAAGAAATGTTTTAGCTTTGTAGAGCACTCTGCCTCCGTCACATATTTATGTTTGCTTTGTCTGTTTACACAGTACTTCAGACTTCACATCGATGAAAACGATTCTTAGTTCAGTGGGATCCAAACAAGAACAGGACCCGGACCAGGCTTGACCCACAGGCCCTACTGTGCTGAGCCAGGAGCCCTGGTCTAATGAAAACAACAGGCGAGGAGCTCTGTGTGTTGAGAAAAGCAAATGAACCTCTGGGAGAACAGGAAAAAGAAACACATGCAAGAAAGCAATAAAAATCTGTTGAGTTTAAATTTCATACAAAATAAAATCAGGAGAATATCAATCCTCTAGACATGTACACACACACACACACACACACACACTCAGGATAAAAAAATACACAAAAAATTGATCAAATCTGCAATTTACTATTTCAAAATGAGCTAAGAAACATTAAGAAAATAAAATGCCCAAAATGCAAGATCAACATAGCATCAGAAAAAGCTCAGAAACGAATTGGCGTAACTCAAAAATTATATATAGGCTACATATTCTGCTTTTGAGGATATATTACAACCATAGACAACATTAAGGAATGGGGATGGCATATGCAAAAATGTTTCAATAATTATTATTTCTGGTGATACTGTTACTGTTGTTATTCTGAAACTAACATAATATGGGATAAAGCAAATGTGTAATCATAAAAAATTCTAACTCTATCATCCCCCATGTCCTTAGAAACTGGTTTCTTGATGTGGATGGAACAACATACAGATTTAAAATAGGAAAGGTGACATAAAGTACTGTGTTCCAAAATTTTTATTAGAAAAACCAGTTTAAACTCCACAGGTATTTTATCAGTTTTAGTTCTGTCCACTGAAAAGTTTAGAAACAGACTTAATAACAAAAAGTATCCCTGCACCAAGACTTGGATTTTGAAAACGTATTTCCCTCTGCAAGAAACAAGGGCTTATTGGAGAGCAGATTGATTCTGGTCTGAGATGACTCTGGCTCATATCAGTTGAGCCTGACACATCCTCAAGTATCAGATAGAAAGGAAACAACCAGATGAATGGGCTCATGTCAAATGGATTCACAAATCAACCTGAAGGGGTTTCCACAGACCAAAGATGAGGACAATCTGAGCTTCCATAGAGAAAAAAGTTGCAATGGATTAAAGCCCAGCAAATACATATAAGTGGATAAATTCATTAAGATATATATCTATGTGTGTGTGTGTAATTCTTATTCAATGTATTGGGATGACATTGGTTAATAAAATTATGTAGGTTTCAAGCACACAATTCTATAATAACATCATCTGTACATTGTATTATGTACTCAACATCTAAAGTTAAGTCTCTCTTTCTGTCACCATTTATCCCCTTTACCTTCTTCTACCTCTCCCCACCCCACTTTCCCTCTTGTAATCACCATACTGTTGTCAGTGTCTTGAGGGTTTTTGTTTTGTTTTGTTTTTGTTTGTTTTGCTTAATCCCTTTGTCACTAGTCCTCAGAGAAATGCACATTAAAACCACTATCAACAAGGTTGGTGTGGCTCAGTGATTGAGCATCGACCTATGATCCAGGAGGTCACAGTTTGATTCCTGGTCAGGGCACATGCCCAGGTTGTGGTCATGATCCCCAGTGGAAGGCGTGCAGGAGGCAGCCAATCAGTGGTTCTCTCTCATAATCAATGTTTCCATCTCTCTCTCCCTTCCTCTCTGAAATCAATAAAAAATATATTTTAAAAATATAATAAAATGGAACTGCTTTACAATCCAACGATTCCATAAAGATATTTTTAAAAATAATAAGAGTTGGTCCATTGTGAGGTTGATAGGTGACCAAATTATAATCTTGAAAACTGGGTAAAAACTCAAATATTTAATGCGTCTTTCTTAAGTAAACTCTGTGCAACCAACTGCATAAGAGGGAAAGCATCTCCTTATAAGTTATTCCAACTTATAAGACCAGTAATAGAATTCAAATACTGCTAGTTTGCAGCCCAATGGGCAAAGTGGAAACATCTAGATATCATGTTCCTACCAATCAAAAAGCACATGACCCAGTAGAGCAAGCTTGTCAAACTCAAAGGCTAATGCGGGTCAAATAAATGAGTTTGACATGCTTGCTCTAGAAGAGTCTTGCCAAAAAGATAAAAATGACTTAGTCTGATTAAGCCTCTAGATCCAAATGCCAGTTTGTAGGAAATAGAGAAAAGAAAAGGTTTAACTCCAACTTAAAGCAATTTATTGAGCTATACATTTGTTGTCTGTGGTTTTCTGTATCTGAGTTTTACTTTACAATAATAAAGCTTTTAAAATAAGTGAATTTATCTCTGACAGTGCTCTTTGAAAATTGATGAAATTTTTCTTCATAAAATTTTATGGGACCTAAATATTAGAGTTAAAGTTATTGGTATTTCAAAGCACAATAACAGAAGAACTACAATATAGCAAACAATAAAATAAAATTACATATTATGTAACTAAAGGGGATCTAGTCAGTGAACTACTTCATGTATAAGGGATATTTATTATTTTTTGTTGTCCAAGTAGGTTATTTATAAGAGAGTAGTCAGGCAGCAAATGTTAAATGCTCTTGGAGAGCCAAGAATGTTTGATAAAAGATGGATCTCTGTGTCAGGTTACAATCATAATTCTGGGCAAAGAAAAACAAGAAAAGACTACATAAAATTGAGCAGTAAAGTGAGTGCTACCACTTATGAATACTACATGAGTTCAGAGGTCTAAAAATTAGTGAGGAATTGGGTCATCAAAGGTATGAAGTTGGAACTAGGGCTTGAGGCATGAGTAGGATTTAGAGGTAAAAGAATGGTGAACATTTCCTGAAATGTTTAAAATACAAGTAGGGAGGTCAACAAGGTACTTTCCTACTAGGAAACATGTCCTTTATAGTTATTGGAATAAAGACTTAAGTTTGTTTGACACATAGGCTTTATCTCGACAACCATAATGCAAAACATTGGCATTAGGTTCAAGCCAAATAAAATTGCCTTATTTGTGTGTCAAACCGCATTTGATTTCACCTATTATACATATACTAAATATGTGCATTTATCTATATTTTTGTTTCTCAAGGGAGTGAGAGAGACAATTAAGAAATTCAAAACTCACATGCTTAGAGTTAGGGTGTAATTTGTTTTTAAGAGAGAGAGAGAAAGAGAGGGTTGGCGGGGGGGAGAGAGAATTTGTCCTCAGTGTGTGAGATAATAGTGCAGAGAGGATGCTCGCCAGTAATTCACCCAGGAGCAGAGCCACCCCTATTCCTTAGCATGTGGAAGGAAGGCAGTCCCAGTGTTGTCAGGTTTTCTGGAAATCCAGATTTTTATGTGAAATCACCAAAATTTTTCAAATGTTGGCAAACAATTTAAATAAACAAACAAACCTGTGCTGGCAAAGTAAATATATATTTCTGGACTGAATCTAAATTCATGGCTACTAAATATGACCTCAGATCCCTACATGTTCATATTCATGCATACAACTGGGGGGGGGGGCGCTAAACTTCTTTAACCGTAGGATCAACAGCAACAAATTAGAAACTATAATGTGGTAAAGAGGGTAAATAGAAAATAAAGCAGATCTCATTAATGCAAACTGATCAGATTGCTTTCTGTGGCCCTCTCCTGTGCAGATTGGAATTCAGAATGAAGAAAGACCAACTTGATCAGAAACTCTGAACTTCCTGTTCTGTTAACAGCTGAAGAGTGAGCTGGTCAGTGTGGTCCATGAGGCACTGCATTGGTGCCTTCGCCTCTGCGCCCCACCTCCCACCTGCCCCGTTTATACCTCCTTAGACCACGGATTCCATAAGGCCTCTCTAGCATTTCTGCACTATTGGCTTTTAGATCTTTCAGATATTATTTCTCAGATAAAAGAAAAAAAAAGTCCCTTAACTGGTTGATTCTCATTTTCCTGGTTTGAATTTTGGTTGTGGCTGGAATTCCAGCGGGTGCACCTCATCTAGGTGCTGTCCGGCTCCTGAGCGGCAGCCACCATCTCTTCGTCTCTCTCCCGCAGTAAATGTGAGGCGATGGCCATTTCAATACTGACTCTTGCTAAGACGGAAGCCCGCCCAGTCTCTCATTGTCTGAGTAACGGCAGCTTCTTCCATTGAGGTCAAGCCCTGGTCCAGGGGACCCTGGCAAACACTGTGAAGCTTTATCATTTACTGGCTGTTGCGTTAATGAGCTATACTAACTCCTAAATTCAGGGAGACCAATTTTAAATTTAAATAAAAAGTGGCAATGGCTTAGCCTCAGGAAAGGTAAACAGATGTGCAATGGAGTTGTAACTGGTAAAAGAAGGCCACGTTGGCTAGGGGTCTT